TTCTTTGCTTTTGTGGGTAAAAGATGTTGTCAGGCAACCAGGGTCCTCAGAGTCCATTGATTTTCTTCAGGCACTGATCCTCTCTCTGTTCAACATATTGGACCAGATTTTTTTTTTTTCCTAATTAATTATCCAGCACCTTCAGCTTTATTTATTCAGTGCAAAGTGACTGTAAAATGCCACCAGATTATAAAAGGAAACAGCGTGCACTCCTTTTGCAATGGAGTAAACACCCAACTGGGTTAACTTCAGGTGCTCTACAAAAAGGAATCTTTAAGTCTCATTATTTCTTCTGTTCTAGAGAGTTCTGCATTCAAAGGTTTGGAAGCAGCTTTGCCACAGGTTACAGACCTCTCCCCTCTCCTGCAGTTCTCAGCTATGTCCTCCCATCAGCCACACCCTGACCATTGTGGCAGATTTCTGACCTCACTTGCCTGATCCAACATCAGAATACAATCTCTGGAAAAAGCCTTTTCTCATGAATCTGAGGAATGTTACACCACTCCTCTTGTATATCAGTGACAACTACTCTAAAAATAGCTAGCTACAAATACCTGTAAATACAGGAGAAGCAGATCAGCAATGAAAGACACTTTATCACCCCTGGCTCTGGTTCATAGGCTTTGCACAAGCTCCTCGACTCTCACACAGCACACAAGTGTGGTTCAGCACTGCCATGGGATGCTTCAGATGTGGTAGCACTGAAAGCCCACCCTCTCCCAGACATGCTCTGTGCTGGACACATCTGCAAGGGACAGTCCCTTCCTCTGCCAGAGGTTCAGAGGAAGCAGCTGAGGGAACACAGCTATATGATGCACAGGTTCTATCAGGTAGTTGAGCCAACTATTTGCAACAAAAGATCTGGAGGTTTGCACAGGGTAAGGAGCCTGATGGGGTTTTTGAGTCTGTCAAAGGATCTTAGCAAGTCCAGAAAATCCATTTTCTGGTGAACTTGTACAGCTGAGAATCATAGGAATGCCACACCTGCTTTATAGCACCACAGGTGCCTGGATTTAACAGGACCAAGAGGAAACATCTCCATCCCAGACCTGAGAAGCAAGACCTTGGATTTACCTGAGAGCATCGCTGTGGGTCCAGCAGTGCCAGTGATCACAAAGTGACAAGGCTGACGGCTGGTTTGCCAGGATCTGCAAAGGAGCAGACCCTGTTGTCACAACACAGACAAGTCACCAAGCAAGTGGGCACAGTCTCACCCCTGCACAGGCTGGTGAGGGGCCCAGTGCCACAGCCACTGTGTGCTTCTATGTTTTTGTGTAGCTGCACAGCAAGATGGGAGCTGAGGAACTCCAAACTGAACGCACCAAAAGAAAAAAAAAAGGCTCCAAACTAAGAAGTTTGAGGAATTGTGAGCAAATTTTAGTGACCTCAACACAGAGACCTCTGGAAAGCTGCCTGTTTTGGGCAGGAGTTAACCCTTGCTCTCCAGGCAAAACTGGTTCAGTGAGAGCTTTGCCTCAACTGAGGGTGATGCAGAACACGCTTGGTGGGGACCCTTTAACAGCACATTGGAAAGGGGCCACCAGGCTGTCAGCACACATGAGAGCTGTGGCTACTCCATGGCCCTGGCTAGGATTTGCACAGTGCCAGCTGGGAGCAGAAAGTAAATTCAGGGTTGGATGGTGTTGTTAAAAAAGCATCTCTGGTAAGCTGTGTCCCTTCTCAACTGCTGTACAGGCTCAGCCTGCATAGTGGCAAGTTGGAGGTGGTTCATTTTCAGTCTTTTTACTCAGTCCATGCAGAAAGGGCTGTATTTGATTCAGCAGCTCCTGATCCAGAGAACATTCACTCTGGAGTGCAATAATGGTCATTTCAATGTTAATGGTGAATGATTCCCCCGAGAGAAGCACTAGAGTAGGATTTCAGCACTTTCATTCTCCCAACAAGACCTGCCAACACCTACAACTCCCTGGCTCCTCCAACACCCTTCCTATGGAAAATAACCTGTCCCAAAACACCCACACCATGCCTCAAGGCTCCAGGGGACTTGGTGCCTGTCCCTGCTCCAGCTTTCCCTAGCAGGAACACACAGAACCAGGCTGTCAGGCTCTCACCCTTCCCTCCTCCACCACCTCTTTTTCAAGTAGCAATAAGGTTTCAAGACACACACATCTCACAGTGACTTCACCATGGAGATAGGAGTGTAGAGACAAAGGGGTGAGGGGAGGTCAGTTAATCCCACAGACACCACCAGGCTGGGACACACATGGGCTGGGGAAGAGTTCATTTTTAAACTAAATAGAAATGAGGTTATTGAGCTCGAGTTCTCTTCTTTTCTGTGCTATAAACTCCAGGCTCTACTCCTCCTTCTTCATCCTCCTTACACTCCCCCTGCAACATGTCTTACATCTTGAATGCTCCCAGGCAGGAGCAGCAATGTGATTATGCTTGGGGAAGTTTATGCCAGTTTTCTAGAAGGATGAGCAACTTGGAAATGGAATAACTGATAAGGGAGTTAAGACTGGCAGCAGTGCCCTCAGCAGACACCACACCTCAGCATCCCAGCCAAAGGAGAGATTAACCAAACTAGGAGACTTTTGAGTCCCTATGTATTGAGTCAGGATCCCTATTTCCAGCAAGTCTAGGTCATTTTATAACTCAGGTACAGGCTTGTCTGAAATTCAACATCCCTCAGGCTTGAGCTCTGATGAAGCCTCATGTCTGTGAGGAATTCTTTTATGCTGTGGGACTTGCTTGTGCAGTGGGATTCAAACCCATGGTACTTGTGGTCACGTTCTGTGACAAATTTTTATTTTCAGGGGTTTCAGCTTATGGGGAAAGGTCTTGATGCTTCTCCTTTAACTTCACTCTTCTGCAGGCAGAACTGGGGAAGCCCCGGAGAAGCTGCTACACCCTGCCAGGCTTTGATTTTTCATATGGGCTGTACATCCACGGAACAGATGGAGGAGTCCCTGAAGGTACAACAACACTGCTGAAACACAGACCTGCAGCAAAGTCCCAACGCCAGCAGGGACTCTCCTCTCCTTCCCAGTGCTCTGTAGTATTTATCATCAAGCTGGAGGTGAAGAACTCCAACATTCACTCACTTTCATGACTATCACCCAAATTGCTTGGTGATTAGTGAGGTTCCCCTGTCAAATTGGAAGCTTTCCTAGGATCACAGAGAGCCCAGGCAGAGAGGGGTATGGTGTCTGCAAAGGGTGATGCATGTGGCCACTTTCATAACCTTGTCAGAGCTCCTACTTCTTGCTCTCAGGGACAGTTCCCCTGTGAAATCAGACTTGCTGAGCAAGCCAGGGCTCAGGGTGAGGAGACATCTACAGTGAAGCTATGGCAAAATGCATGCAAGCCATGCAAAGCCCTTTAGCATGGTGCACAAACCTCAGCCTGCCTTCCCAAATAGGAGTTACCCCAAGTGCCTGAGCCTCTTCTCTTTACCTCTCATGTTTCCTTCTGTCTCCAGCAATAGGCCACTGGAACACCGTACAGCCCATGGCTGCTTTAGGTGAGAAGATGCCCCGAGACTTCATCGCCATGAACCGTGGTGCTGTGAAGGCTGGTTACACCACAGCCCGTGAATTTAATTCCTACTACAAGGCCAAGGACATTCGGTGCAAGGTTGAAGAATACAGTCAACTCAAGAGAGGTCCTCCTAAACTACCTGCAGACATTACTTATGGCATCCCACCACGGTAAGGGGAAACGCTTGGGGCCCTTCTCAGATTGAGAATCTCTCTTCCTACCCTTCACTTCCAGGTCTCCCCCACCTCCCAGCTAACTGAGTCCCCAAAACAGACATGTCCTGAACCTGGACATGCTCCAACTGAATCACAGATAATCAACCACCTAAATCTAATCTGCAGGCCACAACATATCCCTATTCCACCTGTGGCACCAGGGCTTGGAACCCCTGAAAAACTTGTTCAGTGCCAAACCTTTAAAGGAACATGCTGTGCTGCTTTCTCCAGGGGGATTGTGCTACAGGGAGTCTGCAGTGGAGAACATTGGCACCTGTTGGGGTTGAACCCCAAACAACAACTAAGCACCGTGCAGCCAAAGCCAGGAGAGCCCCTTAGACTGATGTGCAGGTCCTGGCACTGCCTGTTCTCCATGGGAGGCTGGAGAGCACAGGGATCCCAAAAAGCCAGTGTGAGTCTGGCACAAACAAGTGCTCAAAGCCCCTGAAATGGGCTCTGAAGCAGCCCTGCTGCTGCTGCTGGAGCACGGAGGGTTTTCTTGCTCTGTGCAAGTCTGGACCAGACATTAGGCTTCATTTTAAGAGCTGGATAATAATCACTACCAGAAAAATAACAGCTACAAATTCTACACAAAAGACGTGATGAACGGCACCGTGTATTTTACATGATAGTAAATGGGCTTTGCATATGCAAATTGAATGGATTTTAAAATGGTATTTAATGACAATTTTCGTTGCAGACATTAACATTAATTGCATCAAAATGAAAATGTAGCATTAGCTTGCTGTTAGCTGCAAATGCCCCAGCTATAAAGCTTTATCTTTATCAGTATCAGCCCTCAGCGATGTGACAGGGCTGCTCTGCAAATTGCAGGCAAAAGGGCTTTTATGTTGCAAAAGTATCCCCCAACGTAGACCAAAATCAACATCAATTTTGCTTTATTTCTTCATAAACGGAGGTTAAATGGCTGCCTGTAAGAAGTCTAGGCACGTTTCAAAAGTTTTAAGGAAAATCTGCAGACCCCACAACAGCAGAAGTAGTGGGAAAGGGCTTTTAAAGTTATTATTGTACAGCTTGCCTGCTCTTTAATAGCTACCTTTTATGCAGACTGATTGTATTTATCCCTTTACTTTAAAAGCACGTTATAGACAAAATCAAATTACTGGGTTACCAAAGAGTTTTTACAGCCATTCCAGTAAAAGTGGGAATTTAACACACTTTTCCATGACTGGCAAGTTAAAGGTCCCAGTTCTGATGAGCACTCCCCAGCCCAAGCCTGGCCCTTGTTCCCACTGGCCAGGTTCAGCAAGACCTGTCCTGCTAAAAATTACTTGGTGGTCAACAGATTTAAGTTGCTTTTTCTGTCAGACTCTAAGCCCTGTACAACTGTGTTCTTAGTGCTGCTAACTGTGAAAGCACTCACAACTAAGACACATGCTTGTCTGGGGACAGAAGAAGGGAAGGGTGGCAGACACTCTTTTTCCATGGCTCCAAGTGCTTGCTTGCCATTAGAAATGTCCACTTGGATAAACATCTCAGGTGCAGTGAAGTTTTTCAACAAGACCAGAGCCTGCATATCATTCTCTAGCCCAAGAAACAGCACAGACAGTGCTGCTGAGAAGGCCAGAGAGCAAAGGTGCCTTCTCATCACACTGGAAGTGGCTGCAGCCACCCTGCCTGATGACAGTGATGCTCTGGGATGACCCCCAGGACACCAGTGCAAACTCTTCCAGTCTGCACCCAGAGCTCTGTTGCAGCATTTCTGCACAGCTGGAATTGCAGCTGGTGCCAGCACACAGCCTCAGGGCTGGGCAGCCTCCCTGGGAGCAGCAGCACAGGGGGTTATAAGGCCCAAACAACTCAGCAGTTGTGTCACAGGAACACGTTTGGGGTCTTACAGCTGTCAGAAGGTAACGTGCAGGGCACTTCTCAAACCCTGGCAACATATCTCCAGCCCCTTCTCAGGCGCTGGACTGTGCTGCTAAAGCCTTCTGTCTCCTAAAGATACCAAGGTCAGGAGCTCTCCCCAGGCTCACGTGTACAAGCTCTCCTGGATCATCCCAAACAGAAACGAAGACAAACGCTGTGGTTGCTATTAGTGCCTTATTAATCACACCCTGGCCTCGCTGCTCCCTCTAGCACAGCAGATCAGTGGTGCCTCTGCTCTCCATTCGTGGTGGACGTGTGCTGCATGGAGCATTTCACAAGGCAGCTTCAGACACCAGCACGAGCTTTCTGAAGCTTTGAGGCCTCCTTCTTTTCCTGGGATATTTACCTTCAAAGGTCACCCATACCCCTCTATTAATTCCCTGTGGGCATCTTCCAGGGGAGAGAAGCAGCTCTGCTTTTTTTGCTGATTCCCCCCCGTTCTCTCCCTCCCTTTTCCCAGAGAAATGTTTGCTAGGAATCATGTGGCCAGCTTTGTTGTGAGAGTCATAAAAAGGACATTTTTCATTTCTCCTTTTTCCTGCTCTCGCTCCCTTCTCTCTCTCAGTCTCAGACAGAGATTTATTCCCTCCCCGATGCCTGTGGCATTCGGAGCTGGGAGGGGTCAGGGGAGGCACTGATGGGACGATAATAGATAATCCAGTGGATCCCCAGGGTCTTGTCCAGCTCCGGAGCCGATCCATCAGCAGGCAGCGCTCGTGCCAAGGTCAGCGGTAACGAGGATGTGGTGGGGTCCCAGCCTCCCCCATGGGACATCCTCCAGTCAGGCTTCCCCAGCTCGTGCTCCGGCTGCTGGCCTCTACAAGAGCTGCCTTATGCAAGCCACAACTCAGGAGAGAGCACGTGTCCACAGGGTGCAGGCACTGGGGTAACAACATGCACGGGCAGCTTCACCTGCCCCTGCCCTCATCACACGTTTCTTTCAAGGCAGATACCCATTGTTGGCAATACCTCCCCCTCCAGGACCTAAAACTATCCCCATCCATGTGCTTTGTGCCTGACACATTACAGAGCTGTAGGATGTGTGCAGAGTAGGGATGTTGTCCTCCTGGACCCCAGTTCTAAGTCTATTCATTTAAAATAACACCACAACAGTGCTTCTAGGAGGTGTATTCAACCCCCACCTCTTTGTTTAACAACCTTGTTTTACAAGAGGGAGGATGCAGGACACTGAGTGGGCTGGGTTTTAATAACACTGGAGATCTAAAGACACAGAGGGTCTCTGAAGACCTCCAGGATTTTCACTGGTGTCAGTAAAGCTTGTCATATCAAGGTGCATTTGGAAACCCCAGCAGATGCCCACACCCACATTTATCCTCCTAACCACCTTTTCTGATTGAATTTCTCTATGCACTGAAATTAGCAGACATTAAATGGTCATTTTTGGAACTAGAAGCACAATGATATGGATGCTTTCTACAGCTAAATTTTAGATTATATCGATTTGCACAAGGTCACACAGAGACTGAAGCCAAAACACACCCGCACACAGTTGGTACCCCAAGGACAAGTTTTCTCCCCAGGAGTTCAGAGTGCATCCTCAGCATGGGCACACTGTCCAGCATTTCCAGGGCTGCTTTTAGAGCAAAGCTTTCTCTTGCCTCTTAGTAGTGCAAGTTCCCTAATTCTGCCCATTGTGTCCCAGAACACATTCCTGGACAGGAGGACTGCACAGACGTGCCATGTTACACCTGTACCTCCTTCAAACCCTGCACGGCCATAACCCTGCCTCCGACATGCTGCCATCCACTTGGCAGTTGGCCTGTAGGTTGGGCTGACCTTGGGTGTGCTGGCAGGATTTCCCTGGCACTCTGTCATCCCCACGTCTCCTGCCGGGTCCCCCCTACTGTCTGCCTTCTCTTCAACCATCCCTTTCCTGAATTTTACATCCCATTTTCCTTCTAACTTCACCTCCTCCTACCAGGCCTCCTCCCATTCTCTAAAACTGGTCTTAATCCTTTGGCAGCTGCTTTCACCATGTTCCTGCAGCCACCTCACCTCTCTAAAACATTTGGTCACCGCAATCTCTCTCCTTCATACTGTCACAATGGGCCAAGGGCATCAGTTATCCAGTCCCTCCTCTTTTGCAATTGTCCTAACGCTCTGTTGACAATTGTCTCACTGGCCTTTAGCAGCTCAGCTGTTACCTTGGCTATCCCTACAGCTTCCTGGCTTAACTGACTGCTCTGTCCTCATCTTTCACCTTCCCAAAAAAGGGATGTTTCAGTGCTCACGCTTGTGGTTTGCAAGCAGCCTTTCCACCCAAAGTGTTTGTGGTGTTTACACACAGCCAGAACAAAGTTTAGAAAGCTGCCCAAAAGGTGCTGAGATATTTCCAGTGTCTCTTTGGCACACAGAGTGCAACAGGAGGTTTATTTTTGAGAGAATTGAAGAACATTTCAGGTCATTAATATATTGCCCTGGGGAAAAAAGAAAAAAAAATAAAAGAGCACTAATCCAGCTATAGACCAGCTGCAAAGATAAGTCAAAGAAACAATACTGAAGAGCAGAGGGTGTTCCTGGAAAGAACCCATCAGGAAAAGCTGGACAGGCAAGAAAGATGACTATTGCAGCAAGCTCACATCTGATCCACAATCACTGGAAGCCAAAGACTTGAGCCCAAAAGATTAGGGCAAAGAAAAGTTTTAAAACAAAATATCTGAGCACTGACAAAAATTGTAAAAACTAACACAGTGACTGAAATCATTGTCAGACTGAAAGCACCAGGAAAATGCAACCAAGCTAGAAAATACAGGACTCCACCAGTTCTCAGCCCAGATAATTGCATATACTATCAGGTTCCACAGCGAAAGGCACTTTGTGCCTCTGCCACCTTCCTCACATTGCTAAGATAAGAATTTCTATTTCAAGAATAATTTCCTTCTACTGGAGATGTTCCAGGCTGGGTATGTGCTCACGTGGCTGCGTGTACATCAGCTGCTGCAGAGCTCCCAGCTGCATCTGCCCAGATCCTGCTGCCTTGTGCCCGGGTGGCTGCAGCAGCTGCTTGGGCTCAGAGACCTGTTACCCCCTTCAAAACCCAGGAA